ATGGCTTGCTTCTCTATAGTCCCTCTATCCACTCCCATCTATGTATTAGGTCTGTTAGTGTCTGTCTTTATTGTGTTGGGGATTTGTGTGTATGTGTGTGTGTCCAGACCCATGTATGTGCCTCTTTTCTGTTCTGGTTATAAATTCTGGGTTTGAGGTTTTGCATGTAATTCTGAAACTTTTAGGATTAGATTATTTCTACAGAACATAGTGACAACCATGATCTATTTGTTTCCGACTGAAAAGGATTTTTATTGTGCTTACTGCATTTTTCTTTATGTCTTTTTTTTTCTTAAATGTTTTGTACACTTAGATTGAAAATCTTCAAGAACAACTTAGAGATAAGGAAAAGCAGATGAGCAGCTTGAAAGAACGAGTCAAATCCTTACAGGCTGACACCACGAACACTGACACTGCCTTGACGACTCTGGAGGAGGCCCTTGCGGAGAAAGTGAGTGACTGGCCTGGATTCATCACGGGCATATTCCTTCTGCTTTTTCATTAATCTAGAGCTGCATGTAGAATACAGAAGAAATTCCTATGCATAAAAGGGAAAACAGCTCTTCTGTGCTGTTGCTGATATACATCGTGTAAAGGAGAAAGAAAATCCATTTAGTTGTTGTCAATTTAAGCATTTGCTGCTAGGCAAGATAGATTTTACAGTACATGGCAGTGGCTGAATTTGATAAAGAAACAGGCCATGTGTTCCCCATTTACTATCTTCTGAAGACAAAGAAAATTCTTTTTATATGGTTGACTAGAATTTGGAGATGTGAGAATGCCCACCATGGCCATTCTACTTTGGTATCTGATATATTCATGGATTTCAGTTATTGCTATAATGTGCTTTCTAATCTTCTAGTCTTGGCCTTAATGCTTCATTTTATCTTTCTGATTAAACTTAGTTTTTCAGGAGTGGTTGACTAAAGAAGTGGCCCAACCCCTGATCAATGTTAATGTCTTTGAAGGTGCTTTAGGGTATCTCTTTAGGATATTTTAATTGTGTGTGTGT